TAACTTAATTTCTGGACATTTATGGTTTGATTTCTTTGTATATATGGATCACTTGGGTTGTTACCGACATCTGGTGAAAATTTCATGTCATTAACACCTCTAGTAATATATTTACTGAGAAAAATGGTGACGTGTTCAATACTTATTTTACCCGCTGAACCTTTGCTGTTAGCAAAATATCATGAACCAATGAACAGGATTAGATTTACAACTGATAAAGTTTGGAGTTCAAAGATTTCACCTCAGTTAGTTGACTTTAGTTAACACAAAATAACTTTAACTCAGTCGGTTTTACAAATTATGAGCTAACATTTGATGTGGTCAAATGTTATCAATGTTTGACCAAAACATCTACAACTCAGTCGTTCCTCAGCATAAAAGTCTCAGTCTAAAACTCTGGCATTAAAGTTATGGAAGACAGTGGCTGACAAGAATGATTTGGATATAAAGGAAAGCTAAGGTTTTTTTTTACTAAGTCTTAGGACTTAACTCATGCTCCAGACTAAAAGAAAAGTTAACATTATGAAACTTAATTCCCTCTTCTGAGCTGATCTAACTTAAAGAAAAGCTGCTATTGAAGTTCATATTTATTGTTCAGTTATTAAGATGTAGTACTCACGTTTTACTTCAGTTTTGGGGCTTTGTGCTTTGAATTTTTCCATTTCATCCATTGCCTGAGCAGAAGAAGAGCAGAGAAAATTATTCAGTCTAAAAAAACAAATGTCAAATTTACTACATCAGTGCTTTGGTACCACTTTACAATAAGGCTCATAAATAGTTTATAAATAGGTTATTAATCATTATGTAATTAAGTGTTTATTATGCATTAATTAAAGATGAGAATGTGACAAAACTGTCCAGTTTCTTGCCAAATAGTGAGCCAAATCTGTTCATGTGCATATTACAGTTAGTGTTATATTAAACATTTCAGACTGGGTTACTACATTGTTAGCACAATAATGTATCGGAAATACATATTTTACATATAATATTATTACTGCATTATACAATATCCACAACTATCAAAGCAGCCTTATTGTAAAGTGTAAGACAGCACACTATAAGGCTCCCTTATGACATTTATTAGTCATTAATAAATAGTGTACGTACAGTCTTCATTCAGTTTTTCATTTCCTATAAACAGCAACATGTTACTGAATTCACCTGCTTTAGCTCCACCCTCTGAGCGTTTAGTTCCTGCTGTTTTTTCTCCAGTTCCTCCCTCTGTCTCTGCAGCTCAGTCGACCTGTGGTTGATGTCTTTCTCCTCGTTGGCCAGTTGCTGCTCATAATTCCTCATCTCCTCCTCGCTGTAAAACGGGTTTTGATCTAAAGTCTGTGGAGGGCGGGGAATTTAAAGATGGATAGAATGATAAACTATTATAATATCAGAATACATTAGGAAAAAAAATTCATTAGCTTACATTGATGTTATGTCAAACACAAACAAAAATCACCTCTTTCTTGAGAAAATAACAAAACTAACACTTCTCACTTCCTACTGCTGCTGTGGATCACTGGGAATGCAAACTTTTCCACACAGCTAATTTAAACAAAGCAGCTCTTCATGAGTCTGTTTTATCTGAACTAATATTTCTGGGTTGGTGTTGAGCAAAGGGGTCCAATCCTGATCTTCGAGGGCCACTACCCTGTATGTTTTAGTTGTTTACCTGCTTCAAAACACCTGATTTAATGATTAAAATTCCTCTTTTGTGTCCTCAAAGTCTGCAGAAGCATTTCAAAGTAATCTTTAAATAGTAATTTATTCAAATCAGGTCTGTTCAAACAGGAAAATGAATGTCTGCTGTGTTTTCTGTCACTCAAATTCTGATTTCACCCAATTACAACAGTATCAAACATGTTTCTAAATCAATTTATCAGCTAAGAGAATCCTAACTTTTCTTGCTCTTACCTCCCATTCATTTTTTTCATGGAACTCCTCCCTCTTGGTCGCAGCTAGGAACTCACTCAGTGACAACAGTCTGTCTTTGTTGGTGTCCACCTGGAAGTCAGCACACATGAAGCCACTTTCATCAAAATCTGTAGGAACTAGTTTCTGCAGCTTTAGTTTCACAACAGTTCATGTTATGATTGACAACTTCGTTTCTGATAGAGTTACAGTTCATTCTGAGATGAGTCAGTATCAGTATCCTAATGAACGGGTCAGAAACTCCTCATCTGCTCCGCTGTTGAAGCTCACCTCTTTCAAAACGTGCTCCCTCATCCTCAGCCTCTCCTCCTCCATCTCAACCATGTCGTCCTCTTCATTTTTAGGGTCGTACACTTTCTCAAGCTTGAGGAAACACAAAATGTTACGACAAAGGCTCCTTCGTTTACAGATGATCCGCAGGGTCGGTTGGAAAAATAACCACATACCTCTTTAGTGAAAAGTGCTTCGAGCTCACTTTCGTCGAGGAAGCCGTCTCCGTTGCTGTCTGCAGAAATAAGAGGAGCCAGCACATCCCACACATCATCATCAAATTAATAATAATGGTATGAATCTACAAAAAAAAAGCCATTGAATTTTTTCTTCAGTAGCAGATCCTGTGCCTCCACTTTAAGCTGTCTCAGCATCTTTCTTTGTTCAGTTCAATTCAATTCACTGTACATTTGTTGTCAACATGCTGAAAAACACCTCAGCTAAGTGTATTTAGGGTTGATTTCCTGAGTTATTCCTTGGTTCTGCTGCTATAGACAGCTGGAGGACAAACTGACCACATTTCCTCACTCTTCTGCTGTCTTTAGTCTCCTCTGCATGTTTGTTTTAATTACTTCTATCAATATGTGTTTTCTTTGTCTCTCTTCCAGTAGAAAATACACCTGGAACAGTCCTTCTATGTTTGTCTCTTTCCTGGCCCCCAAACCCAGCAGGTCGAGGCAAACAGCTGCTCATCCTGAGCCTGGTTCTGGTTCTGTTGGAGGTTTCGTCTTATTAAAAGGGAGTTTTTCCTCTCAACTGTCACCAATGTGTTGCTCAGAATGAGAGACAGTGACAAAAAAGTGAAGATTCAACACAATCTGCTGGCTTCTGATTGTTTTTGTACAGTGACCTGAGAGGTTTGTTGTGACTTGGCGAAACATAAATAAATGGAATTGAATTGAAAGTCTCCTAAAACACTAACCACTTAAAAAAGAATCATATACATGATATTAAGATGATTTTAAGAGTCTCCGAATCTCCACTTTTACTCCATCTGCTCTCCTCCTGTCACAAATCATCTCAGACACTCGTCTCCATCACTCCACCTCGTCTTTTTCCCACCAACTTCTCTTAAGAACATACCTCCACCTCTTCATGTTCTCTTCCACCTGCTTCCTACTCACTACATGTTTGATTTGGCAAAGGTTTTACACCAGATAAAGGGCTGTAAAATGACCAAGTTTCAGATTCAGAGATCTCTGTATATTAAAAATAAATATACAGCAAAAAATAACATTAAAAACAAAAAGCAATACACCAATGTCCCCCATCACAGAGGGATTCAAATAATGAAGGTTTGTAATTTTCAAGATGAGTGTTTTTTTTTTTCTGGACTAAAATTGAACAGGGAATACACCTTCATGTTTTTGTAGGTGTTACAGAGTGCATATAAGACATAGATCTGGACTATTCAACTGGCGGCCCGCATCTGCCCTGCGAGTGACCATAGTTCGGCCTGCCAATTGGTTTATTCATCTCTTAAGCCCAAACCCCCGGTTTTCTACTTTAATTACTATAAGTTCTTTTAGTTAAACATAGACATGTTTGGTATCTACAGAAATGTCAGAATCTTGGCTAGAAGCTGGTAAAAACCATTTCTATAAAGCACTTAAGACAGTTAAAACTACAAACAGATGAAGATAAAATGATGAAAGTGAAAATAAAATTAGTTTAAAGTTTTGGCAAGTCAGAGATGTCAAAATATTGTGTCTAATAGGAGGCATAATGTGTTCTTTTTGTTTTCTGATAATGTTTAATTATAACTATTTTTATAGGGTTCTGTATGTTGTATTCATGATTAAATGCAGCAAAATAAACTATTTCAAAGGTAACAGATCTTTGTAATACTTGGTTTATTTACATAATAACTTGAATTGCTGGGTGTTCGGCCCCTGAGCTGTTGACCGGCAGTAACTGTGGCCCCCCGAGCAGTTTAGTTGAATAGTCCTGACTTAGGTTTTTTTTATTACTTTATTTTTTTGCTTTTCCAAGGCAATGCAGAGGATCCTGGGTGTAGAGGCAAAAAACATATCATCAACAAAGAAAGCAAAAAAAAGTCTATTAAGCATACATATTTGGTTTTGAAAAGAAATATTATCTGTTTTAGACTCAGCATTACGGTAATCTAATTTGAAGAACATTCTGACCTGGCTTAAATATCATAATCATGTTCTTAAGATGTGCTGTTCAGCAGACAGAAGACCTTCTGTTAGTGAAGATCGTTTCACTGTCAGCGTTCTCGCTGAAGCACAGCTGGAAGCTGATTCTGGTCATGTGAGAGGGGAGGATACAGCCGTGCCTAGAAATCAGATTTTACTAACTGTTTTCAGAACAGATCAAAACTCTAAACAGCTGGAAATGTTTGTAAAACAATAAATTACTGAAACCTAAACCTGATTTCTTCGTGATTTTTTATTTATTTTTATTTTTTCACCAAGACACTGTCAAGTGAAAGGAGCAACGGTGGAGCCTTTGGTACAAGCAACTCAATTTTCAATAGGGACCTTATCCACATAGCAGACAGGTGTGGGCCAAATCTGGAGTTAAGCTGGCACTGCTGGCACAACTCTAGTAATAATGGTGCCGTTTTTAAATTGAAATGCCACAAATCACATGCCGTCATTTTTATGCGGTATCTTGGCCGAGTATTGAAGTGTTATGGCCCCTTTCCACTAGGGCCTCTACAGCACGGTTGGACTTAGCTGAACTCTGTTCAGCATGATTCAGGCAGCCGGTTCGGATGTTATCAGTCCATTAAATGGACGTTATTAGTAGGGGTGTAAGAAAATATCGATACACTGAAATATCGCGATATTTCATTTCCTGATACTGTATCGATATTCTAAAGCCCTGTATCGATTTTTTATTAAGGTTCAAAATGTCAACTTTCCTGCCAGCCGTTCATTTTTATGTTGTAGTTCAGCCTCTGACCACTAGTTGGCAGCAGTGAGCCAGCCATTTGGCTACTCTACCTCTTGAGGTAGAGGCTATTGTTAAGTGTTGGGTGACCATATTGTAAATTAATATTAAAAACTAAAAGCTGCAAAAATATATATTTTCAAACTATTTATTGTCAAATTTAGTCTAATAATTGAAAACATGGATGAAATAAGAAATATGAAACAAATAAAATAAAATGCATTCAAAGCAGAACACAGCTAAATGTATCAAAAGCATGTCTATGTAATATTAGAATTTTCTGAGACAAAGAATCTTGGTTTTTCATTTTTTTTTCCCCCAGTAAGAGGTTTTTATTTAATAGAATTTTTGGACAAAAAAATCACAATATATCGCCTTGCTTATAGTATCGCAATGTATCAGGATATATCGTATCGTGACCCCTCTGTCATATGTTTCGAATCGCCAAAGTCTTGCCAACACACAGCCCTAGTTATTAGCGGTTTTCAGTCCCATAGAATGGCTTCAGACTGTCCAGATAGTGCCCCCTAGTGGGTTACCAGTGCCATATACATTCGAATGCAACAATCTGCTATCCAATCTGCAATCGTAGCCCATGTCATTTTCTCTAAAATTAACCTTAGTGGTTTTATGCCTCATATTAACCAGATTGCATAAAAAACCTTAGTGGCTTTATGCCTCATACTAACCAGCTGACAGTCTGAAGCCATTCTATGGGACGGAGAACGGCTAATAACATCCATTTACTGGATGATAACATCCGAAGCAGGTGGTTCAGGTGGTTTTCCATTGCACTTCAGTAACAGCTCTAGTGGGCGGGTTCATCGTAAAGTTGGGCGGTCCCAGAGTCTGAAAATTGATGCCACGCACCTTACCAGCTGGTGGTGGTTATGCTCCATTAAGCCAACCCTCATTAGAAGAAGACGACCCCAAAAAGATACACAACACAACGATAGAGGACATGGCAGTGTTGTTATTGCAAATGGCAGATCAGGTTGTTGTGCTCTTGTGACGCAAACAGTGACTCCACCCCCTAACCAATCAGTGAGCAACAGTCCTCAGACGTTGTGCTATCAGGCCAGAACAGTACACTTGGAACCACAGAGAAGTAAGTTCTGAAAAGGGGTCTAGTTCCACAAATCCTTGCTAGTGGAAAAACTTTGGAACCATGGAGAGCCAAGTGGAACCATGCTGTAGAAGTGCTAGTGGAAAAAGATGCTTTAGTGCATTGTGTGGGTCAGAACTGGGCCGGACAAATTTGACTATGTGGGTTCTTACATTTAGATGCAGCCACACATCAAAATGGAAGTCGGTACCTCACTTATTATTCAAGTTATCAAGCTCACACGACGGACAGACGGACGGAGAGTATTTCCAGTTCCCCTTTTCGCTCTCTGACGGCGAGACAAAAACAATGTGACAGTCAGTGCTGGATCTTTAAAACACAGGATCTGTAGTTACCGTGCATTTTAAAAAAGGTTTTGGGGTTAAAGTCCTCAGGGTCCAAACCATCTGATTCCTGCCACACCTCCTTCAGCTGGTCTTGACTGCCCTGATCACACACAGACACACAGACATAAAAAAATAAAACAGTTATCTTGTTTTTTGGTTTTTGCAAAATGCTCTGTTTTACTTGGAGCTCATTTGAGACGATCACATAAAACTGGAAGCACAGGATGTTACAGATTTTTACTTTTAGACTCTTCTTAAACAAAAAACTGACTTCATCAACTATGCAGCTGAGCTGAGACCCAACGTGGCAGTTTATTTTATTCAGCAACTGATGCTATGAACACACAAAATGTGCATCAAACTAAAGGTTTAGGGCACAAAAAACAAACTAAATGGTGGAGGAAGAATTATGAGTTTCACTAGTTTATTTTTTTTAAGACCAGTCTCTCCATAAGGTAGAAAAATGGAGCTAGATGATTTTACATGAGTACCGACACTACGTTTACCACTAGAAGTAAAACTGCAGTCTTTAAAGGGATCCCTGATTTGTAACATTAGACTTTATTTGATAAACATATATTTTAAAGACTATAAAAATACTGTAGTCTGTTTAGTTTCGTAAATTTTTAAAAATATATTGACACGGACGGAGCCATTTTATTTACACACAAAGCATTCTGGGTAAATGATGCCTATTAGTTTGTGCTAGCGCTGACGCTATATTGCCTTATATCTATTAGCTCGGTGCTAGCGCGACAAACAAACAAGCTAAACTGAGGTCCTCCATCCATATTTTCAGTTGCAGACAGTCATTTTTGCGTTCCCCTTTCTGTCATGTGGAGGACCTCAGTGACGAGAGGAGAATGTGTAGCGCTGCGCTAATACATTTTAATGGTGATAGCGTTAGGGCTAATGCTAAAGCTAACAGGCTAAGCTGAGGTTCTTCTTCCATGAAGCAGCTCTGTTGTCCTCCATCCATATTATCAGTTACAGGCTGAGTCATTTCTACCTTCTCCTCTCTGTCAACGCTCTCTGGTTTCATTTAAAAGAGTCGATCATCAGATATTGTCCAAGAT